GCTCGATGTACAAATGTACACTCTATGCTAGTTCCAGAGCCCAACTTTACCTCAGCAGCTATAAAACCATTTATTTTCACTGAAATTCAATTTCACTACTAGTATTTTCCAAAATTTCTGAATCACTAGATTTTAAGTTCATGAACTTGGCAGAGAAGCAATTAGTTTTATTGTTATTCTACAAGTTACGTGGATTTATTTTAGCAAATTTCAGTTACCAAAGAAAATAGTGAAATTAAAAACAAGTGAATTTACATCAACACTGGGCGCTGTATCACACTTTTACATGATTTTTGATGATTTAAAGTTTCCTCAATGTCTATATATATATTTAATATATTTAAAATGAAGTTGGTATAATATAATTAGCAATAAATCACCACAGAAGACGGGTTTACCACTGAACTCCAAAGTTACGCTCACTGATACCTGTGTGTGTATGTCGTGGAATGTGCAAAATCTTGTGGTATACCCGTCGGTGGTTTATTGCAACATTAACTACATCTTTCAGGATTAACTGATAAAACTGATGTAGAGAAATAATTTAGTTAAATGCTTTAGATAAAAATGTTACCAGTCAAAGGTAGCTAAAAATAATTCTTGTCTACATCATGTCAACCCACAGAAAATCACCAGATAATGTCTTTCAGGATTAAAAAAACAAATTACACATTACACTGTGTGATGAGTTCGTTTTAATAACTTAGTTTCGCTTCCATGTAAAGACATGGCAGAGAACAGCGTTGGTGTTGAATGGTGCAACTCCATCTATAGTTCTATAGTTGAAGAGGATGTTTAAGGCCACAATTCCCACATAACTAAGTTAAGTCCCACTGAAAAAAATGTACATGGTCATCCTTCAACTAATTTCTCAGTTTGTATATCTGTTTTTTTCTAAAACTGATACACACTGCATCTGTATATTATGCATTATCTCTGTAATAACATTATACATCACATCTTTCTAATCTGACGAGTCTGGATATGAAGCCTGCCTGTGCTGATTAAAATTTGTTCTGAATTTGCTTATTTCTGTTAATAATAGGGCCACTCCCATCTTAGGAATATATATCATGTCACTGCTTCTTATTTGCAATTTGCATACCCTACAAGAGCAATACACCCACCAACCACCACCCACCACCCCGCCCCATATGTTGTAACATATAATGGTATATTTATAACTGGTAAACGATAACTACTGTGAAATTTTAGCTGGAATTAATTTTTGCGGATTAGTCTTTATAGGTGTTTTGTATGGAATTTAGTTTCACTGATTAGTGATGAGTTGGCTGTAAAATATAGTAAACAAGCCATGCATGGCACACGTCACAGTCCACGTTAGTTATGGAATTTAAGATGTATAGTTTTGTTTATAGTAATATAGCTGGAATATAAACATGTCAGGAATATGATGATTGTTTAACATTTAAATGATTGACATTTGTATCTGATTGACAATCGAGTATTGAAAGATATTGCTCTGGAACAGCATTAATTAAAACAAAATCAGCCATTTTGAATACATTTGAACATAATCAGTCAAAGCATGTCAGAGATATGGCTCTAGAAGCCCATTCATTAAAACAAAATGGCCACTAGTCAGCCATTCTGAATCTGATCTAAAAAATAAAATAACATGCAACAGGAACCCGTAATGTCTGATGTATGTACCAAGTTTGAACAAAATCCATCCATAAATGCTTGATATTTGATGATTTTTTAGCACAAAAATAACCACCATTCGGCCAATTTTAATAGGATCGTCAAACCAATATATCTGTATATCTATGACATGATGTATAATGAATATTTAAATTTGAACATAATCAGTCACAGCAAGTCAGAGATGTGGCACGAGAACCACATTCATTAAAACAAAATGGCCGCCAGTCGGCCATTTTTAATCTTATCTAAAAAACAAAATGATGTGCATCAAGGTACTATAATGTCCAACATATATACCAAGTTTGAACAAAATCCATCTGTAACAGCCGAGAAATGCTTGATTTTGATGATTTTTTAGCACAAAAATGGCCACCATTCGGCCATTTTTAATAGGATCGTCAAACCAACATATCTGTATATCTATGACAAGATGTATAATGAATATTTAAAATTTGAACATAATCAGTCACAGCAAGTCAGAGATATGGCACTAGAACCACATTCATTAAAACTAAATGGCCGCCAGTCGGCCATTTTGAATCAGATTGTGAAACAAATTGATGTGCATATGTATATTATCATGTATGATGTATGTGTGAAGTTTTATTGTGATTGGTCCAGGCATTTCTAAGATACAGGTCTGGACACACGCACACACGCACGGAGGTCAAAACAAAAACGTATATTCGCTGGATTTTATTTTCACTGAATCATTCCGTCAGCGAAAATAGTGACAATTAATTCCAAGCGAAAATAAAGTATTTTACAGTATTCAAAAACTATAAATCACCAGCTACATATATTGAAATGAAATTTCTGTTTTGTTTATTAAAAGGAAATAGTAAAATAGATGGATGAATAGCATATAACCTGACACAATGTTTTTTTTCTATTTGATGTGTATGGTAATTTGTGCACACTGGTGAAATCACACCAATGTCATGTCAGCAGAATTATATCATCAAAAAAATATAACAAATCTAGATTACATTAGGTAGGGGAGTCGTCACCTGCGCATGCGTCAGATGGCCATAGCGTGTCATTGTTTACAAACAAGCGTCTACCCATGAGCCTTTTTTCATTATAATTTCTAAGTAAGTAAATAAAATAAACAAGTAGCCTCTCGACTGAGATGGCTCCGCTGTTAGCAAAGCACATTTCAATTAAAGAATTGAAGATATCATCACGAAATGAATAAATCTGATACCTGTAGTACCTATATGTATAGGTATCAAAGCAATAGGACTAGCAATAGCAATAGTCGAAAATATCACTTTTTACCAAAAATGACTAAAATATTCATCAAAATTAGAGAATTGAAGATATCATATTGAAATGAACAAATCTAAGAGAGGTCTGCCCAAGGTAAATATACACAAAGTATCAAAGCAATAAGAATTGTAGTTTTCAAGAAGAACTTAAATAAGTAAAAGTTGACACGGACGATGATGGACAATCACTCATATGATAAGCTCCGCTCAACAAAGTCGACAGCGGAGCTAAAAAATGCAACATATAATTTCCCACATCTAATTTACATAAAAATTAATAATTAATGGTCATTTTAATAAAATCAATTTTTCATTTTTTTTCTTCAAAATAATGGGTAGTTACTGGAAACACAGATTTTATTTTGTATGGCCTTACTGCATCAATCCAGATTTTGCAGGATCGTGTATAAGCAATCAAGGACAATGTATAAAATAGTACAATCATTCATACATGTACAGCCATTTTTCAAAGCATTTACAATATCAATATTGTGGTTTTAAAAAAGTAGTCAAAAATATCACTCTTTACCAAAAAATGACAAAAATATTCATCAAAATTACAATATATAACAAGTATCAAAGCAATCGGACTAACAATAATACAATATATCACCAAAATTAGAAGATAACTTATAAAATGAGAATAGCTCTGAGAAAGCAAGTAGATGTGGAAAAGATTACCAATATCAGATAAAAAATAAATGTTCATTAAAAAATGACAATCAAAGATATGATCATGAAATATGAAAGAAGTACAGAAAGGAACACAAGAGAGCAATCTGGGTTATGGATAACAAGAATAACCATATATGTTAAAGTTGGATGCCTGAATGGTGACAGAAATCCTTATTATGGATATATTCAGCAATTTAACACACTAAATTTGAGAGCTGCACATGCACAAATAAAAAAAAAAAATTCTTTCGAGCTGATATGGTACATGTTAGTTCTTCAGTTTTTAATTTGATACTGGAAAGGTCTCATGTGAATTAAACAGAGATCTGCTGGTCGATGTCACCATACTGTACACATCTGATCCACATGTGCATATGTTGATAAGCAAAATAAACAGTAACATGGCTAATAATTATTTTGGAAAGAATAAATAATTTCTGTAGAAACTGACTTAAAATTAGGTCTCTAGATAATCTGATTATAATCCGATATAAATAGAAGCTCAGTTCAATTTTAATTTGGTGTGCCGATCACATCTATTAACATCTGGGGGAAAAATTAAAACCAACCATGCAATTTTGTTGATTGTGACTAATTATGATGTTAACTAAATTATTTTTGTAACAATTTTGGAAACTGCTAAATTGTCCTGAAACAAAATAACTCTGTCCACTCATTGATATATGCAGATATACCTGTGAGATTAAAGGAATGTTTGGGTGAAAGTGGATACAAAGTTATGACATTTTGTTCCAAACATGATGTGGTAGTTTGTTTTCACTGTTTTTTAACTTCCATAAACTGCCAAGATTTCTGTTCATGATTATTTGTTCTCAGTCATCCTGGAAACGCAAGCCAATTGATAAATGCACAAAATATAGTGAAGCACACCATGAGTTTTAAACGGCCCGAGTAATTCTAAATAAATAGTTCAGGTTGCACAGTATTAAAATATTTAATGATTCATCAAATACAGATTTTACTGTAGAATCTGTAGAATTGCACGTTCTATGTAAGATAATTGTTATTTCCATCTGATACAGTACAGGCTCCACATGGTGGTGTGATTGAAATGATGGCACTTTCAGAAATAACATGTTATCTTCATTTTTATTATCTCTATCTATCGTTCAAACACATGACAAAAGTTTATACTAGAATGCTTTTGACAAGACACATACTGTTTGAAGGAAATTGTGTTATGTAACCTTCATCTTAAATATTGTTGTTCAAAATAAATGTGAAATTGTCAATGCAAATAGCATTAGTCTCATTTCTACATGATCGTGTGACTAAAATTTTCTCTTTAAGTGATATCTTGACAGTCTCCATGCAGTATTATAATGATAATTTACAAAAAATTACTTTTGTGCGAATCATACTTACTTTGTCTGTGAACCCATCCTGCCTTTGTGATAAATTCATGCGGCATTCTTGTTGCCATGGTGTATTATTTGAGAGGTTATGGTTACTTTCTAAAAAGTTAAATAGAGAACATGTGTTACTCTAAAATGTATGTCTATGTAGCAATGTTAGAATTATTCTCAAATACAGTAGCAAAACCAAATTGGAAGCATCAGTATATTAATTTAATAACTTTAATGTATCCTCGAAAATATGTACCTTTCTATCAGTATGGAAAAATAATGTATTTAGCATAAGATTACATTAATTAGTGTTTCATTTCTTACTAAAATGGCATTGTGTATAAATTCTCTGACAGAATTGGTAGTATTTTCAACTGTGCTTTGCAATAAGTGAATGAACTTTTGGACATTGGATTGTATTGTAATAGGAAACATTAACTAAGTGATAGATACTTTGGGCAATCCATGAAAATGGTAGTTCATCTTTTATTTCTTATTTAGGCAATGTCCAGCATAACAAATACCATGAACAAACAAACTAACAAATCATTCACTACTTAACCATCAATCAGTGCACAACATGCTCGACAACAGGCTTTCCATTAAAGAACGCAATTTCATACATGTACGAGCAAGATGATATATTTATGGATATTTGGTAGACGAAAATACTAGTGTCACAAAAAACAGCGATTTACTCCAAAAACAGAACAAAATGTGAGATTCATTGAGCTGCAGCCTGTTCTCAGGTCATAGCTTTAAACAAACAAAGTTCTCATAGTAATACTATTAAATAGAGACAGAGAAGTAAAACTCTTCAAATACACTCAGACTATAACATTTTGCATCGAAATACTTAATCAGAATTGTGAATGAATGTATGTATTTTGTCTTATTTGTGTTATAAGATGTTTATGTTGAAGGGTCGATGGTAGGTGATTTTGAAGTGTCTTGAAGACTAATTTTATTTTCTAAAGGTGTTTTTTAAAGATTTATATGTCTTCGCTTTTCAATAGCTAGATTATAGTTGATTAAATTCTTATTTTTGGATACAGTACAGTTTAGTATTCCTCCAAACTGTAGCATATGTTTCACTATTTATTGATTGCATAAATTAATATATTTTGTTTAATAGTGTTGATTATTTTTTTAATGTCTTGTTGCATTATTTTATTTTGTGAATTTGTTGATATATCTGAGTTAATCCTATATTTGATTTTATGTGGTGCATTTAGGCTAAATTTTGAAACAATTTGATGCAAACTCTAAAAGTGAAATATGTTTTCATACCAAATATTAGTCTAGAAAGCATTGATTGTTCTTTCATATGGAGTGGGCAGTAAAACTGAATTAAGATGTGACATCCAGCTCAAACATTAGTAAATATGTTTATGTGATTGGTTAATGAACTGATTACGATTGATGAGCATTTTAGACAAGTGAAAGAATAATTGCTGACGCCATTGGGGATCAATCATGTTGATTTCTGTCTTTTAGTAAGAGGTAGTAGACGTACATTATTAATATTAAAGTGGATTTTTTGTACTTACATCCCAAAATTTCTTCTATTTACATGTTGTATTGTGAAAAGTTTGTTTGTTTGTTTTAGTAAATTGACAAGTAACATGTCAAGCCACAGTCGCTCGGAACAAACTTATTCAGTCGCCGACCACTCGTATTAATTATATGAGTGGTCGGCGAATGTGCCTGTGGTCATGTCAGGGGAACAAGACACTGCAAGGGGTTGGATTTTCACACGAAGTTGTGAGTGACTCCAATTCCATTAACACCGTTATTGATGATAATAATTATTAAGAGGGTGTGTGAAAGATATACTGTAAAGTACTTTATTTTTACTATTTTACAGTAATGTAGTTAAATATGTCGTCAATACCAAGCGTACACATAAACAAATATACATTTTCGTTTTTCACCATCGACGTCATTATTTCCGCATTTCGACTTTGGATGCAACCCTTTTTTTCGAAGAAATTTATGTCCATTCATCGACTATACCAACATAAAAAGTAATTTAGCTCATGGAATGTGAGATCAAGAGTTAACTTACCGTGATCGGGATTAAATTCGTAAAGCTAAAGCTTGGGATAAGTTCAGAAATTGTGTTTAAGTAATGAACACTCGTCACCTGACTGAGAGCAAAATACGTTCTACTGCGCATGTTTATAACGCATGACGTCATTGTACACATATGAGGTCACCCAACAGCATTCACTGATTTCAGGTACGTGTTTTTGTGTTAGGATCGTTGCAATTCATGCCTAAAAACGGAGTATCTGTTCCTCTCATGATTTTCTAATTTTACATATTGTTTTATAGAATCCACGGAAGCTTTGCATTGACTGTGGAGTGAATTGGTCCTGTCGATTGCCTGTAAGTTGAGATATTTCCGTGCTCATTCATGCAAGTTCTGGCTTGTGAAACTGTATTCATGTCAATAGACAGAGCGGGTTGAGAAAATCGATCCGCGTAGATAAATGTTCATTTCTCTTCAATCTTTCTGAAATTGGTCCGCCATTAATAAATATTTAGTGCTAGAATACACTTGTACGTTATTAAAACAAGCTTTCATCGTCACTGATGTTTTACAATTGGCGTTTTTTTGCATTTTTCCTGGCATTTATTTATTTTGAGATGTGAAAAAGGAAGGTGATCACGATTCAAGCTGCCGTTGTGAGAGGTATGGCTGGTAGCCTCATTCGCCGATGTTGCAGTCCGTTGATTCATCTCGAAAAAACGTCAATATTTTGACTTGCCATATTTTCAATAACTGCAGCGTGAATTCTAAATACTGGGCTTAAAAATCTTGCCAGGGATGAGATCTTTTAATATTTCGATCGGCATTAGAAAAAAATGGGCACCCTTTTTCTCCAGGGGAAACCAAAACAGTCAATCATTTTTGTTTGTTCTTTTTCGAAAGTGACTAATTTTCCGGCGATATTGCTATTGTATTTTAAATGTTGCGGAAAGATGGCGTGTCGATCGTAAATTATGCACGTCTTAAACGTCTATTTCTGTGTGTATATACTTGCTTGCCCAGTGCTGTGTATACTGCCTTGTGTGGGTAGCTAATAATGTTGTAGTTTGTTTTTGTCTGGAGTTTCAGGGTCATTCAAATATTCACTATAGAATTACTAACGTTCGTCAGCTGTTAATTTTGGAGAATATTGAATGTGTTACGGGGAATTTACTCAGTGTATTGTTCATAGTTTTCCATAGCCAGACAAAGAGACCATAAAATATATATGTACATGTTGTAGGTTTAACAGCTGTGCTGTTTCTTGTGTTCAAGCTCTACTATAATACGCCTCCATTTCAGTCACATGACAGAATCATTACAATTATTTGTTAAAAATTTGTCATTCTGCAGTCAATTTTCTTATAACATTTATGCAAATATTCTTGTTAATAATAAACAAAATTATTTATTAGCTGTGTAATTTAGTAGCCTGTAAATACATATTCCTACATACTTACCACCTCAGTTCTCTCCAGGGGGTCTTTAACTATGTACAATTTTCAGATAGGAAATTAGCATTTACATTACAATAGAAACCTATAAAGTAAACAATTAATTACATGTGTGTAGCAGTTATTTTAACAAGGTTGTTTGTCCTTAAACAATTTTTTATCGTTAATTTTTCTGTTAAGCTAGAGATTCAATCAATGTAGGAAATGGTTAATCCACTTTCTGTGCTTCTCCATTGAGAACTGTACACATTTGCCTAATTTTCTGTTTTGTTCAAATTCTAAGCTTATCCGGTCAGTTGTCATTTGAACTTATCAGGTTTAATAGATTATAGTGTTTAAATAGCTGTCAATGAACAAAGGATTTGGGATGACTGTTGTCATCTCAATTCTTTGTTAGTAGTACATTTGCAAACATATGGGATCCAATTGAAGAAATCAGGTTGATATTGATGTACTAGTGTTTGTTGTACCATACAAAATTGCTTTTTTTTTTTGTTTGCTGGTGGAAGATTAGTCCATAAACAGAAAATATGGCACTTTGGAAATATCTTTTATTTAACTGTCATATTATGAGTTGCAATATTGGTAGTATTGTTCACTTGAATACGTATCCATGGCATGAACACTGTCTGTACCCGCTTTTTCTTTTCCATATTTAGTCTGCTTTTAATGGAATTATTCTGAATTCCATTGCAATGACTTTCTGCATTAATCCTAGCACTCTTTAGAAAGCCAGAACTCACCAGAAATAGAATGCCTTAATAACTTTTCAGTTTATTTTGATTTTGTGAATTGTATTAATATAAAGAACTGCTGTGACCGTCACTCACTTCTGATAATGGATTTTCACTGTATGTGTTTATATTACTGGGACAACTGATGCTTTTATGTGTATTTGCTATTTGCTAGAATTAATCTAACTTTTAGGTATACACTGTAACGTAGGCTATTTAAATTTTTGCTGAAAACAGACACTTAGTGTTCATTTTTCAAGTATTGATTGAATGCACTGAATCTGCCACAGGTGAATGTGAATGTTCTTGTATTCTTAACATGCTTGTATAGTAAATGCTTGAACATCTATAGTAGTACTCCAAAACTACTCTAGAAACAGGTCATTATGATCTTACCGGTACTTAAACAAAATTTTGCTTTGTTTTTCTGTGCTCTGTTTTGATAGAATTGCGTTGCTAATCGCATTCATATATTTTTCATGCTGAACATTCCACGGAAAGTGATGATATGGCTAATTCACACCATTGACAAGGTTACCTCGGCTATTCATCACATTTGCTGAATTTTGGCTTGATGATTGAGATATAGAATGTTACCTGTGCCAGTCAAGACTTGGTCGTGTCTCAACAATTTTAGTTTTTGTGAAATTGTTATGTTATGCAGAATTTTAGGGTGAAACTGGATTTATTGCCATTGATTTTACTCCTCCAGGCAAAATAGCAACTGTAAAAAATTTTAATTAATATCATTTATGAGTTTTGAATAACATCAGGCAGTTTTTTAGACTGATTTTTATGTTGAGAATATGTCTTGGGATGAAAATGTCATATATTATTGATGCAAAATACAATCACTTTCATGTTACAGAGCCCTAAAAAATCAGATTGTAAAGACAACTGAGGTCGTGCCACAGACTTTTATTTATTGTGTGCATTGGTAAATACTTTGAACATACATTTCATTTGTTATTCTCGTGAAAGCTTTTAAAACTCTTTCAATACTTTGTGTATACTTTTAAAAAGTGCTAATTGCCTCCTTGAAAAAGACAAAGCCAACAGCATTGTGGTCCAACTTTTTTTAATGTTTTTCACGATCACCAATTGAACCTTGGAAAAATAGCTATTTTTTGTATGTACGTTTAAAGGTTTTGATGATTCCTTTGTAAGATGTTTTGATTTGTCCACTGTCCTTAACACTGTGTACCGTCCTTCAGCAGTGTTTGCTGTCATTAATTATAAACTAAAGTTGAACCATAGACACAAGAAGAAAAAAAACTGAGGCAGATACAATTTTAGAGAACAAAAATCCACACAATTTTGTGATCGATGGAAATTTTATAATCCAATAAATCATGAAAATTTTAGATTAGTCCAATTCTTTGGGCGATTTTTTTGATGGAGCAAAATTTTATAGTTCTTACAGTAGTTTATGTTGATATTAAAAATTCACAATTTAATGACATTTGTTAAAACAAAATTACATAAAAGTAAATGTTTTTTGCACCCTGTGAAGTTTAAACTGCTACGAAATTTTGCGATATTCACTGACTGACTTCCAGATTAAAGCAGTTTACATTATTCAATCCAAACATTGAGATTACCTGTACTCTTATCTCAGGTTACCCAAATATTCAAATAACATTTTGAATTCAAAATAGCAGTTAAAAACAGTTCGACCAATCACAGCAACTGTGATTTTGATGTCATTGGTGTGGATGAATAGAATTTCAAAATGACCTTAGCTTCCAGTCAGCAATTGACCTTGCATATGAAGGGCAATAAACAAAACTGTGTCATAATAGTGAATCCCAACCATTCATTTTAATTTTAATCTGCATTTATAAATACTTACAAAAATTTGCACTTAACCATCCATGGGCAATAAAAAATGATGAGCCATTTTATTCCCAAATTCAATGTTTACTAGATGATATGTCTGTCGTAAAATTGTTAGTATTGATTCAGTATAACAGTTTGAACAGTTTGTCTCTAACAACAGGACGTTGTCAATTTATCCTAGCCAGAAATTTTTCAATATTTTTATAGAAGAGAAAAATAAATCCAATTTTCATGGTTGTATGAAATTTACATATTGTGTGCACATTCATATATTCATATTGACTCTGCCTAGCCAGCAGTGGCCTTGTCTATCTTCCTTTATGCACAAAATGTGATGGCAATCAGTAAAAGTAATATTGATATTCTGTCGTTTATTCAAAAAGGTCATTAACAGTTTCTTCTTCCTTGTACTCTAAACAAGTCACATGATCTATTTTCTGTGCATATATTTTTTTGTTCATTTATTGCCTCGTATGTTTAAAGGCCCAATTCACTTGCCCCGGGCAAGTGTGAATTGGAGGTGTGACTATGCTAATGAGTGTTGTTAATCACTTGCATAGCCTAGGACGTGTTTCAGCGGTCCAACATCACGTGACTTTGATTGACAGTAGTTAATTATTCCAGATTAGTAGCGTGTCCCTTTCCCCGGTTCGAGTTTTTGACTTTTATCCGCCAAACTCTCAGCTCGTACACTATTTATTGTCATAAATACTACATACAGTCACTGCTGTGATATTCATAGTCACATGCATCCACTTTGGCATGACATAATCGACCTGTAAGTTCGAGAAAACGCGCTATTACCGGGGCTTGGCTGGAGCTGTTTACTACAGCGTGACAAGCAAGGAAATAATCCCTATTGCTTAGGACCGTATTTATAGTATACCTGGGCCTTTAAACACAAGCTAAAGTGAATTGTAAATATCCAGTCTATTAATTCCTAATTCTATGTGACAGAAGTTCAATACTTTTACTTCTCACCTTTTCCTGGCAATATATTATTAGAATTTTCTATCAATATTTAAATGTATCTGTGACATTGTTTCATCTCTCAGAGTTGACTGTATATCACATGACATAGAATTGCTTAAAGTTACATGGCCTTGAATTATTTGGTGCAGATAGATACAGCTGTGTAATTACTTCTTTTGTGTGAATATCTTTTTGGCAGGTGATACATTCTGAACATTTTGAGACGCATATATCTTGCTGACCCCTTTCTCACCAATGATTTGTGTCAGTGTATGTGCCATGTTTGCAGTGATGTGCGTGCTATGTATATGCAGTGTGCACATGTGAATTGTGCTCACTATGTAATGCAGTGTGCTT